CCAGCCTTTTGTCAGTTCATAGGGGTGGGTTTTTGTGGTGCCTTCTATTGGGGCATGGGATGTTTTTTTCTTTCTACAAGTTTTTATCAGAACAGAATTTCTGTAAGCCTCTGGTGCCTGAGGGGGGAGACCAGGTACCATTTGATCCATTCCAGGCACCTCGACTTGCTTCTAACTGCCTAACACTTGTGTCCCTGCTGCCAACATCTCAGATGCCTTGGACTACAACTCAGGGTCTGGAAAGGGGGACACCTGGGAAGGAGCAAGGTGGACATTTACATATGAAGGTGGAACAAAAGACAATGGAGAGACATGTAGAGAGGCTGCTCCTGGGACTTTAACACTTTGACAGGCAGCATGGTGATGGAAGCTGCCATCTTGATCTCCTGGTGGTTTACATGACAGGGTGTGGATTTTGGGTCTCTCCTTCTGTCCCAGCTCTGTGGTTTCCTGCTGGAAGATGCCTTGGACTCCTGGCAAGTTTTGGGGCCTCAGCCACCCCACTCTGCCCAGGCTGTTTGGTTGGGCATTTGCTCACAAGGGGTTGGGTAATTTTTGGAGTTTGATTAGGAATGTGCTGTTTGAAATCCTTTCTTCTCTCTATGTCCATTGAGCCTCTCATCAATTAAAGGACTTTGAGGACAGAGTCTGCTTTATTTTCCCTTGAGTGAAGAAATGGCTAAATCCTTTTAGATTGGACAAAATGGGTTTTTCCCCTTACCAGTTTGGAGCCCCTGGGTAACCTTCTGTTTTGCCTGGTTTCATTTAGGTAAAAAAAAAGATTAAACGATATCTACTAGAATAAAATACCTAATCTTGTGAAAGTGGGCGGAGAAAAAAACCTGGTATTTCTGGGGAAAATGGACTCGGGAGGCATGAAGTTTGTTTCTTTAGCATTATGAATTATCCCTGGAAGTGCCCGGCAGAAGTTAATCACTCCAGTGAAGATCTTCTGAGTCCTAAAGATCCTTAAGTTTACCAGATTGCTGGGTTGGCCACCCTTCACTAGATGGCTCTGTGAGGATGAGAGACCTTGGCACCATGCCAGCACCTTCCAGTCACCTACCCTCCCACCCTTACCCTTAGGCGAGATGTCTCTCATTTCCCCCACCCCTGTTCTCAGTCTTTGAGTGGAGCAGGCAAGTGTCAAGGACTGATGGCTGTAACAAATAATTACCCTACTTAGCTGTCCTTCCAGACACAAGTCAACAAGTTGGGAGTTCCAAGACTTACCAGTGGCTGGAACACTATGTTGGCAGTATAGAGAAACTAAGTATGCTGCCTCAATGTGGCTTGCCTCTCCACCTGCATGCCACCAAAGAGAGTGGTAAGGAGGAAGAAGGTAAACTTCTGATCAAAGGAGAGTTCTTGGACAATCCATTACACAAATGATCTCATTTATAGTCTTTGGACAGAATTTAATCACAGGACCACAGCAAGTGCAAGAAAGACTAACTATAGACATAGATAAACATTCTATTAATACAGAAGGAGTGGAGAATGCCCAGTTGTTATGAAATATCAGTTTAAGGTCCAGTAGATAATATCACAATGACTACTTGGAGGAATAATTGTTTTCAGAATAGAAATGGAATGGCAAATAGGATATGAAAATTTAATTGTATCTGGAGAATTTATAACAATGCACTTAACCTGGGTTATAATTTCTTTTCTATGCCAAGTTATCCAACTTATATTATCATTTTTTATTACCATTTAACATCATGTTTTTTTTTTTACTCCAAATCCTTGTCTATGTATCTGATATTTCACACCATGAGTGTGTAGGAGGGCAAAAATTACATATATCTATACTGAATTCCCTGAAGATATCATTAAAATATTTTTTTTAATCTATAGTTTTAATTTTTTCAAATACTGAGTGCCTGAAGAGAATTCATGTCTACCAAAATTTGTGATCCTTTGGGAATGGTGTTCCAGGATCTCACATCCTCCTGAGAATTTTTAATAATCTTGAGATGTTTCCTTCAGGGCACAGAAAACATAAATACTCCATGGGATCAAGTGTTGTTTTATTTTATTTGGTCTTGTGGGTTATACTTACAGAAATATGCAAAATGTGAGAAAGTAAATAGTAGAACTATGGAAATTTAATACACCAGTTTAAAAATCTGTAAAAAGTAGCTTGTCAGATAATTTGCAAAACTGGCATTTAAAAAATCACAGAAGTATAGAATGAGGTTAATTCTATTTTCAAATATAATTTGAGACAATGTTAAGATTGCTGTGCTCTGTTCAGTATGATGATAGAAGAGCTAAATATTAAAGCAGAGAAAATTTTGTCTATATAAATCTGTGCATATCATATTTTTAAAGAACGTATTTGAGGTTGTATGTGTTTCTGGAAAACTGAAGACTCAAAGAGATGAAACAACTGGTAAGTTTAAAGATGCTGTTTCCTATTAAATATATTTTACACCTACTTCCCCCCCTACTTTTACCATTCGAGTATTAGCCTTAGTCTTTCTAACCTTGTCAGTTTAGGTTTAGGGAAAATGGTTTAAGTAGCCAAGTAAATTGAAACTAATGAAAATATTGTATTAAAGAACTTTTTCTTTTAAAATTTATCTCATATTCACAGTAACTAAAAAATCTATCCATGAGGTATTCATACAACAGACTTATAATGTTTTACAATGTGAACTTTGTTAATTACAGTGTTTTGGGGATAAGGGGAACATGTAATTGTTGAAGTTATACAAAGTATCTTCATCATAATTTCACAAAAACTTCATCGTTTGTGAGAAATTTTATAAAATTCTAATGTATTTGTTATAGATATATGCATTCCCTATAATTGTTGCCATTATTGTAATTTGTGTAAATTACACTAATTTGTGTAAAAAAAAAGAAAAGTTACGTAAAGATTGCTTTACAGTTACTAAGTCTGAAAGAATGTCTAGGAAAAAAGTCATTTTTCCACCCATGCATGTCTACATTTTTGACATGATTTTTAACAGCAGCTCATTCTTTTTCTTAGAATCCTCCTGAAAACTCCCTTAGATATTATTGGAAACTAAATTACATATTTTTACTCTTCTATGTACACATTTTAAAATTGTAAGTATTGAAATTATTGATTTACATATTTAAATTCCCCTTTAATTTTTAATTACTAATTTACATGTTTATCTTATTTTATTTTTTCATTAAAGTAATTATCTTGTATCTAAAACTTCTTCTTAAGGCTCTTTACCATATCCATTCTCAACACTATAATCAACGGAGGAAAACTTCAGTTTCTTACTACACACATGAATTATCAGATTATTCCTGCTGATTTTGTTTTGAACTTAAAACCTGGGAAGAATGAGTGATAGTGAATAAAGGAATGAAAGTACTATAAAATTATTCTTGATGACTCATTTTCACTTATCTGAAATTGGATTTCATTAGCCATGAAAGTACATGACATGGTAATCAGCAATTTGAGTTTAAGTAAACTGGTGGTTATTTTAGCTCTATTCATTGAGGGGTGTGTGTTAAAGGAAAAACAATAGCTGTAATGACACATATCACTTTGGTTCTAGTCTGCCGTCTTCAACTGAGCAGGAAAGGTCATTGCATACCAACTCTTGCACTTTATAAAGAGAGTAAGAGCATTTTCTATTCTTTAAAAATCCCTCTAATGCAAATGTATGAGGAATATAAAAATAAAATTTATTAATTAAAAAAAAAAAAAAAGAGGGCCTCCCCGGTGGCGCAGCAGTTGAGCGCTGGGTTGCGAAGCTGCCCGCAGCCTCTGCAGCGCCAGTTCGATCCCCGGCTGCTTCCAGGAGGAGGGTCCCACATGGCGCGCAGACCTCTCCTGCCTCGCCCGCTGCTCCCCTCAGCAGTGTACTTCGTCAGTCTACCTGTTCTGCTCCCCACTCTGTCTCTGGTGAATCCTCTCACCCTCCTGCACTTCTGACTGTACCCAGTGCTTGTATAAATAAATAAATAAACAAATCTTTAAAAAAAGAAAAAGAAAAATACTGGATGGTCTCACTCATAGCAGGAATTTAGAAAACTTAAATAAGAGACCAGGAAAAAGACTAATCAATACAAAGTAAAAATCAAAATCAACAAGCAACTATAAACCAGAGACACACTATGGCGGTGGCAGGGGGTGGGGGCGGGAGAAGGAAGGATTAGGGTCAAAATAAGGGGAGGTCACTTATATGGGGAATAGAACCAAAATGAAAATGCATACATTGAGCAAAGATGAAAAAAGATGTAAGAATTATATAAAATAAAATATTTAAATAAAAAATAAATAAATTAATAAAAAAAATAAAAAATAAAAATCCCTCTAATGCCCCTCTAATTTATTCACATAAAAATTATCAACAATTGCTCCATCCATGTTGCTGCAAATGGCATGAGTTTATCTTTTTGATTGCTGAGTAATATTCCATTGTTTATATGGACCACATCTTCTTGATCCAGTCATCTATTTTGGGGCATTTAGGTTGTTTCCATAGCTTACTTATTGTGAATAGTGCTGCAAAAAACATTGGGGTGCAGGTGTCCTTTTGAATTAATGTTTTTATCTCCTTTGTGTAGATACTTAGGAGTGGATCATATGGAAGCTCCATTTTTAGCAGATTGAGGAAACGCTACACAGTTTTCCATAGTGGTTGTATCAGTTTGTACTCCCACCAGTAGTGTAGTAGAGTTTCTTTAGCTCCATAACTAAAAATAAGTAAATAAACAATCAATAATTGCTACAATTATAGAGGTTATTCTTTGGTAGATTTTCAAAGTAAAGATCAAATTCCCTGCCCAGATGCTCTGGAAATTCAAACTGTTGTTCTTCCTGGAGCAACCATCTTTCAAACTTGATTGAACATTGAATTACTCTCTCTGAAATGTCATTTTGCTAATTTGACCATAACCACAAGATATCACTGCTATTTTTCCACTGGAGTCATCATTTTCTTTTTCTTTCTTTTTTTTTTTTCCTTCCTGTGTAGACCTGGATAAATTAGAAGGTAGTAATGGGAAACCATACAAAAGTGACAGTGTTTATCCTAGCAGGTTTGACTGATGACCCACAATTGAATGTTGTATTATTCATCTTCCTGCTTCTCACCTACTTGCTGAGCATCACTGGCAACCTGGTCATCATCACACTCACCCTGGTGGACATTCACCTCAAGACACCCATGTACTTTTTCCTTCGGAATTTTTCCTTCTTAGAAATTTCCTATACTACTACCTGCATCCCTAAATTGCTTGCTACTATAGCAACTGGAGACAGAACAATATCTTATAATTGTTGTTACACTCAAGGGTTTTTTGCCTTTCTTCTTGGAGTATCTGAATTTTTCTTGCTGACCGCCATGTCCTATGACCGTTACGTGGCCATCTGCAAGCCCCTGCACTACACCACCATCATGAGCAGTAAAATCTGCATAATGCTTGTCTTCTGTTCTTGGTTAGCTGGCTTTTTGGTCATCTTTCCACCACTCACCATGGCACTAAGCCTTGACTTCTGTGCTTCCAACATTATCGATCATTTTTACTGTGATACAACCCCAGTCTTGCAGCTCTCCTGCTCAGACACAAGTCTCCTTGAGACCATGGGGTTCATCTCAGCTTTGGTAACACTTGTGTTCACATTGGTATTGGTGATCATATCATATGGCTGCATTGCTTTGACCATTATAAGAATCCCTTCAACTAGTCAGAGGAAGAAAGCTTTCTCGACATGTTCTTCCCACATGATTGTATTATCCATTTCTTATGGCAGCTGCATCTTCATGTATGTGAAACCATCAGTCAAACAAAGAGTATCTATTTCCAAGGGAATTTCAGTGCTCAATACTTCTGTTGCTCCACTTTTAAACCCTTTCATCTACACCTTACGGAACCAACAAGTGAAAACAGCCTTCACACATATGATACAGAGGATTGCTTCTTTCTCAAAAAAATGAATATCCTTTGAACAAAGGAACTGAACAAAGAAGTCCCTGATTATACCAATGTATTCAATAGTGGCTTCCAATAAATAATTTCTTCCATTTTCCCCTTTCATATCTATGATAATCATCTTTATTCAAGATTTATTCACAAAAATCTTTCTACAAAATTAATTTTCTCTAAATTATGCTCTAGAAAGTTTCTTTTTCTTCCATCTCATGTTCTTTTCCTCTGGATATATGTTTGAAATTGTGTGAAGTATTTCAACACATCCTTTTGTCTTTGATTTCTAATTAGTCAAGACTTTAAATCATTTAATTTGATTTGAATTTAATGTAGCATACAATTTGATTCATGTTGTCTTTTAGTTATAATCAGTCACAACCCACTTAAAACTAATAATCAGTTATGTTTTTGTAATACTACCAATTTATTGTTATAAATTCTATTTACAGTCATTGAATGAGAATTGTAGATTAGCCATTACTGTGATAGTTGTAATTGAAAATGTTCGTTAAAAGTATGATTGGTTTGGTAAAATAATTTCAGTTTTCTGACACTGCCTTTGATTCTGTTAATGTGCCAAGTACAATGAGTTTGGTTAAATCATATAGTCCAGGTAAAACCACTATTTTATCACTGAGCTATCGTGAAAAGCTTTTCTTACATATTTTCAAATGTCTGCTATCTATTAGTAATTAACTATGTTCTGTAACACTTAAGAGAGTCCAGCATTTTTAAACTAAGATTTCCCTATTCTCACTTCTTCCCACTCTCAAAATGGTTAAAGTCACATCACCTGCCTTTCTGTTATTTCAGTTAGTCTGTGACATATCACTTTAGATTATATGTACTAGAACTGTTGATCTCTGAATATTGAGTATCCAGACAGTCTACTACTGTGCTCTTGTTTTTAATTGACTCTTTAATGAGTAATACAACTTTTTAAATGCAGGTGGCACTCATTCCTTAAAAGAGCATCAACCTAAGTGCTGAAATGCTTTTACGGAAGTGCCCTCAGCTTTTCTGCTATAATGAAGTAGTTTTCATTGTTATAGTTGAAGATCATTGTATCTTTTAAACATTTATCTGAAGCCTTCAGATTCCTGAGTTGTCTAGTAAAGGACATTTAATTGATTTCTTTACATTTTTAGTGCTCAAAGACTAAGAGAATTTATTGTATCACAATATTATATCACAAATTTCTTTTTGAGGTACAATTAGTTACTCAATTATCTGGGTAACTTCATCTTTAATACATTCTTTTTGAATAACTCAGTGGATTTCAATGCTACCATCATTCTAACTTGTTAGTTGATATGTTCATAAAATCAACTGTTTTGAATTATTTTCAAAATAAATTCTAATAGATGTGTAATTCTCCATCTGACTTCTTTGGCTTTTGCATTAAATTAATCTTCAGAAATTTAAGTAGCAACCCTTGATTAATAAAAGAAACTTATGAAAAATTCCATGCTATGTCCCAAATTTTGTTCACTTCAATAGTAACATAAAATTCCTACTCAAATAAAAAAATTATTTGTATACTTTTATTGTAAATACACCATCAACATTTTCATTAACTTGAAAAATAAATTAAGGTTAAATTATCTCGCCATTACCTATGATTACAGTCTCATAGAAAATAAGTGTTACACAGAAATCTCATCTGTTTCTGAAAATCTCAAATGTAAAATAGACGATATATTCAATGAAAACTGCAAGGCATTGCTAACAGAAATAGAAGACACAATGAATTAGAAAGATAGTCCTTGCTAATAGACTTGGAAAATTAATATGTCCAAATATCTATCTTACCAAAAACAATTTATAGATTTGATACAATCACTATCAAAGTTTCAGTGGAATTCTTAAATAAAAAAGAGCAAACATCACTGAAACATATATGGAATCACAAAAGAACCCCAATAATCAAAGGGATTTTTGACAAAAAATAGAGTGGAGGTATCATGCTCCCAGGCCTCAAAATGTACTATGTATATGGTAATCACAACAGTATTGCAGTGGGATAAAAATAGACTCACAGACCAAGGGAATAGAATTGAGAGCTCAGAAAAAAAGCCACATTTCTATGCAGAATTAACGTGTGACAAGGGAGACAAACGTATACAACAAAGAAAGGAAAGTACCTTCAGCATATGGTATTGGGGTGACTGAACAGCAAATTGTGAAAAAGTGGGAGAAAAAGAACACATTTGCCAGTAGTTTTAATCTATGAAAACTATAAAATAAAATGCATCGTAGTATAAATGCATAGAGTGTATATGCACACACATATATGAAAAACCACAGACATTATATACTGTGTGTACATATGTGTACTTACAGGAAGAACCTATACAGAAACCGAAAAAATTCTAGTATTTTCCAAGACATGGATTACAGTTATTTCTTCTCTTTTTCAAATTTTTTCTGTTTGTCTTTGTGAACACATGTATCACTTTTAAGATTAAAATAATTTAAAAAATCTCAAACAATATTCCAGTAACATACAATAAAAACCCTATTTTTTAAGATAGAATTTGTTTGCAACATTTAAGGCTTTTCTGAATCTGTTTTATGTGATTATGATTTTTTCCCTATTAAAAAGAGAAATTTTCTTGTTGGAGAAAACTGGGCCGGCAATTTTTTTTTTGTTGAGGACTATGGAACAATTGATGCTTTTGTTGCAAATTTCCCAGATTTAAAAACAAAAACTGAATGAATTTTATTTTGCACATAAATAATACTTTCCGAATACCAATCTCTAGGGAAAAATTTTGCCTACTTTTTCTGTTTCCCAGTTTCAATAAAATCCCTTGTGTCTTTATTGAGCAAATAAATATAGACCTTAGCCTAGTTAGGGCCATGGGATATATTAATTTACTGCACTTAAAACTGGTACTTCTTCCACGATTCTCATCTTTGATATAAAACTTCCAAGTAAAGACTAAGGAAAACATTCTGAAAATGTAAACAAACTGGAAAGGATGATAAAAACACATGTGTTCTGCAGTATCTGAATGCTGAGAGGTATAGTAAATGTGAACTTAAGTGAAAAATGGAAAATGTTTTGAAAAAGAAATAGTACTCACTTTTTACCTTTTATTTAAATTCCAATGAGAAAAGCATTGCTTTTTATATTCCTTTAATAATTGAATAACATTCAAAAGGATTGTCAGCCTTAGTTTAGGTGGTCTATACATTCTACTACATATCACAACAAAAATAGAATCCTTATATATAAGGTACGTCAAATTTGAACTTGTCTATTTTTGATTCAGAACTTAGGGAAAAAATTAGAAGTACAATTAAGAACCTTCAATTTGTCTTCAAATTGTCTTATTAGGCCTATTTCTTTTGATTGAGAAGTAAAAGTGCCTATATAATTTACTATGAACATATAATTTACTATGTGTATCTATATAATATAAAATGTAACTTTTCAAATGCAAATGAATCTTCATTCATTTTCTTAATTTAATTTTATGGACTTGCAGTTGCATTGGATGAATCAACGAGGAAAAAAGGTAGCTATTCTGCACATCTTGAGGAAATCTAACATATTTACATTCACTTTAAAACTTATTTCTCAAAACTTGGAAGCATATGGAAATAGAAAATAATGAAGACATAATGTCTTAATTATGTTTAGTATACCACGTTATAAAAATTTCATAGATAATGAATAAAAAGCCAGATTCATATTTTAATATAATAAAAGGAAAATCTTTAGGACAATCAAATATTTTTATGTTGGAATAAGACTTGCATATAGTTCATGGACAAAACTGATGTCAAGCATTCAGGTATGTTTTAGACAAAAATCCTAGGAATTAAGTAGCTTTAAAAATTATGCATGAATAAAAGAATAATATTGATTTACTAAGAAAAGTCGATAATTATATTTTAAATATTTAATTGGATATAAAAGGGAAATACTTGTGTGGCCTTTGTTTTTTTTTTTCTATTACACCTTATGTTTTTAAAAGGGGGAAAAACTTTTAGATTATTGCCTGGCAATTATGAAAATTGGTTAAGACAAAAGTTTGTTACTCTGTCATAAAGAATATAAAAATAATATTAGCAAAAAACTGATTATAATTATTATAATGACAAGCAATATGATTGCTTGAAATAACTTTACATTGAAAAACAGATACAGCTTCCTCTGTAATCTGCATAATGACAAAGAAAGTAATATGAGATTATTATACACTGAAGAAAATTAAGGAAAGGTTAAGACATAGGAAGACTAATTTTTGCTCTTCTGTTTTATTTTTCTAAGTCATACAGAATTGAGGCATTGTTAATGCTTCACTGGAAATTTTCAAAATGTTGAATCTAAGGACCTCTGATAAAGTATATGAATAGACAAACAGATGGAATTAAAAGAAAATTAAAAGGAAAGAATACTTCAATCAAGTAAGAAAGGAAAAATGAAATAGAACTTGAATATGAATAAATAAATATTAGAGAGATTAGCTAAGTGCAGAAGATAAGAAATATGAACTTAATAATGTATGAGGGCAAAATCTATGAAAGATGGGCAATAGATTAACACTAACTGAGTTGTGGAGCTAAATTTCAAATTACTGACGAGCCATCTATAAAGTGATAATTGGGACTTCTTCAAATCTTGTCAAAAGAAAAATCTCCATTTCATGAAAATGACTGACATAACAGACACTGTTCACTTTGATGAACTCGAAGTAGATTTTCGAAATTATTTGAATGTAGTAATAGGTTTCTGCATATAGAACATTCTATTGCCAAGAATGAAGAAAACTATTCTCTTGGCTTAACTTTTGTTTTCTGTAACTTTGATAGGGAAGAAAAGAAATGAAGAACAAATCAACAGAAATAGAGTTTATTCTGCTTGGACTGACAGATGACCCTCTGTTGCAAATTGTGATTTTCCTTTTTCTATTTTTCAACTATGTCTTGAGCCTGATGGGCAACTTAGTCATTATTCTCCTTACCCTACTGGATCCTCATCTCAAGACTCCAATGTATTTCTTCCTACGTAACTTCTCCTTCTTAGAGATTTCATTCACAACTGTTTGCATTCCTCGATTTCTGATAAGCATTCTCACTGGAGACAAAACAATTTCCTACAATGGTTGCGCAGCTCAGTTATTCTTTTTTCTTTTATTAGGAGTTACAGAGTTCTACCTTCTGGCGGCCATGTCCTACGACCGCTATGTTGCCATCTGCAAACCCCTGCATTACCCAATCATTATGAACAGCAAAGTGTGCAATCAGCTTGTAGTCAGCTCTTGGGTGACTGGATTCCTCATCATATTTCCTCCTTTGGCCTTAGGACTTAAACTGGATTTCTGTGCTTCCAAAACTATCGATCACTTCCTCTGTGACAGTTCTCCTATCCTGCAGATCTCTTGCACAGACACACATCTCATAGAATTGATGGCCTTTGTCTTAGCGGTGGTGACACTTGTAGTCACTTTGCTCTTAGTGGTTCTCTCCTACATATACATCATCAAAACTATCCTAAAATTCCCTTCTCGTCAACAGCGAACAAAGGCCTTTTCCACTTGTTCATCGCACATGGTTGTTGTCTCTATTACTTACGGGAGTTGTATCTTCATGTACATGAAGCCATCAGCAAGGGAAAGGGTGACTCTAAGTAAAGGGGTAGCAGTACTCAACACTTCTGTTGCCCCTTTACTAAATCCCTTTATTTACACCCTCAGGAACCAGCAGGTGAAGGACTCTCTCAAGGATATATTTCAAAGGTTCTGTTATTTTCAAAATAATGACACAAAATTTGGGCATAAATAATCTGTTGTTGAAACATGAATGGGATATTTTTTTTAATTTAAATTTTATTTTTATATCCCCCATACAATTACAACCCCTTTATTTTTACTCCAAGCCCTCCTTTCCCCACCCCCACCCCCCAACCCCTGTAGAGTGTCTCTTGTTCATAGTTATTTTTTGATTTTGATATTTTCTTTCTTATAGTTATTCTTTTTCCTGGTCCCTTATTTAAGTTTTCTAGATTCCCGCTATGAGTGAGACCATCCGGTATTTTTCTTTTTCTTTCTGGCTTATTTCGCTGAGCATGATCCCTTCCAGCTCCATCCATGTTGCTGCAAATTGCATGTGTTTATCTTTTTTGAATGTTGAGTAATATTCCATGGTGTATATGGACCACATCTTCTTGATCCAGTCATCTATTTTTGGGCATTTGGGTTGTTTCCAAAGCTTAGCTATTGTAAACAGTGCTGCTATAAACAGAGGGGTGCAGGTGGTCTTTGGAATTGAGGTTTCTGTGTCCTTTGGGTAAATTCCTAGGAGTGGAATTGCTGGATCATATGGAAGCTCTATGTTTAGTAGGTCCAGAAATCTCCACACAGCTCTCCATAGTGGTTGGACCAATTTGCACTCTGAATGGGAAATTTTAATACAATTTTCAACTCATGAGTTCAAGCTTGCTATGTCTTCCCTCCTTGTTTGTTTCATATTAGATTATAAGTTCTTCTTGATCTCTGCAATTTTCTTTCTTCTTGATCTCTGCACTTTTTTTTTCTTTCCTTTTCCTTCTGAGTTAATCTTCCCCACACTAGTAGTAACTGCCTTCTCAGTCCAGAAGATTGAGTCTATCTTTAATTAGAAATATATCCTCGCATAATGCTTTCATGTGCTGATACTCTAAAAAATGAACCTTACTAATATACTTAGTTTATTTCTTAATAAATGTGTGTTAATTGCTAAGCATTTTGCTTTGCTTAAACCCTGAGAGACAAATTTAAAGTCTAATAAAGTTATGTAGTGCAATTGCCACTGCAGTGGAAAAGAGAAATCTAATTATAAAGATCAAAATAAATTTCCAAGAGAAATGATCATTTATGCAGAAACTTGAAAGATAAATAAGGAAATATAAGTTCAAAGATATAACCAGAGTATAAAATATGCAAAGGAACTGAGATTCTACTAAGTAAGTTTCCCTTAGAGAGTTACAATGACGAAGAATATCTTTATAAACATTATTAGTTTTGTGTGGAAATAATTGAACCCCAAGCTTTGGTTAAAATTGTTTATATAGCTTTACAGTCCAGGTTTACAAATGATATTAATCAATGAAAAAAAAACTCATGATGTAATTTATTTGTATCTGGATTTGGAGATCTTTCCATCTATTTTTAAACTGTTTCTAAATTAAAAATGCCCAGATCTACTATGATTGTGTCAGTTTAATTAAATTCATTAGGTATACCTTATATGCAAGTGCATATAATCATTTTAAGCCAATGAATTTGGACAGATATTGACACCCACATGACAATAAGGATAGGGAACATTTGCATCATATTAAATAGCCCCCTTTGTCTCCTTCCAGTCATCCCCAACCCTCTACCCACCAATCCTCTGACCCCATTAATTCCACATGCTTACTAGTCTTTCAGTCACTATAGAATATTACCTGTTCCAAGAATATTTCCACTATAGATTATTACCTTTTCCAATATTACCTTTCCTTTTCTTATAAGAGAAATCACAAAGCAGGAAATTTACATCTTCCTTCACTGTCTCAATATAAAATTTTTGAGGTTTATGCATCCCTATTTCATGGCTTTTTGCTGATGTGACCTGGCAGAATCAGTGGTGTCCCTTTGTCATGCCTTACATCTCTCCTTATCCTCACACTTTGGTATCCTCATTCTTGGAGTAATTCCTCCCAACACTGAGTCATTTACTTAGGCCAGTGCGAAAAGTCAGTATATATCATATTTTGAAGTGCCTATTATGAGAGCTTCTATTGTCCCATAACTCCTTTGCAATAGACAGTCTGTCCAAGAGAAACTGATTGAAAGAGCATTGCTCTTCTGAGTGACTTCACTCCTTACCTCCTATTGTCCCAAGCAAAGAGAACATCAGGAATCATCCCTACAGGAGAAGTACCATTGACTATTTTGTTACTCATTTTAAGAGCCCTTCTCAATTCCAATTAACATGCGCTATTATTTTAAACACAACAAGTTCCAAGTCTCAACCCACTCTTGAAGAGGTAGGGGAAGCAAGTTTGGACACTGAACAGAATATTGAGGACATAATAGGTTAAAGTCTTATAGACAATGGTTCAAGAAATTGTGTAGGAAAATAAGAGTGACTCAGTAATTTCTGAAATGCACCCATTTAGTAGTATTAGCAGGAAAGCTGCCAGTTCTCACTTACCGAGAATTCACAAGGGATCTTGCCTCTGCTCATTAGTCTAACTACAAACGCCTCAGGAGAATAAAAGCCTTTGCTTCTCTTCCAACTTCCAAATTTTGCAAAGTTCTCTCACTGACAAAATGTGCATTAGAATCATATAGGAAATAAGACTCTGGGAAATAGCATCCTAGTTTCTCCACTGCAGCTAGAGAACAACTAAAAATGTCATATGTGAAATTGAGCTGGCAATAGACTATTCATTACAGAAACTTTGAAAATAGCTAAAAACAAGATCTCCAAAATTGCACAGTGTTTCTATCACTTACTCTGCATAGAGAGTGATGTCAGTATCCAGGCAAGTTTTACATCTTCTTGTTCATTTTACTTCCACCATTAGGACACTATTTGAAGGTCCTGGTGTTATGAATGTTAAAATCTACATAATCTACTTGTGTTATTTCAGACACCTGTGGCACCCAGGTCCAAAATTAAGCTTCTGTAGGTGACAGTATATGTGTTCCTGGTGGAGGAATGGATGAGGGAAAAGAGTGATGAAAGAAGGGAAATGAATTTTATTACTATTACAATAATTAAATGTAACCATGAATTATAGCTATTAATCTATAAAATTGTTTCTCATGAGTCTCCCCCACGGCGCAGTGAGTTGAGCGCAGCGCTGTGAAGCTGTCCGCAGCCTCTGCAGCACTGGTTCGATTCCCATCTGGCCAGGGAGAAACCCACATGGTGCAGCAGACCTCTTCTGTCGCGCCTGTTGCTCCCCTCAACAGTGTTTTCAGTCATCTGCCTGTTCTGCTCCCTGCTCTGTCTCTGATGATTTCTCTCAGGCCTCTGGCCTGTACCCCAGTTCTTGTATAAATAAATAAACCTTAAAAAAATTTACTTAAAAAAATAAATAAATAAAGTAAAGTTGTTTCTCAGGGAGTACAGACCTCTGTTACAAGATCCTCTAGGATAAATTCTTTGGACAAAGAAAATTCCAGACAACTGTGTTCATTCATTCATTCATTCATTCATTACCTCATCAAGAACTTGCAATAATTATAGAAGACATGCCAGACATGCTTCTTGAAATAAAATATTTATAGTTTCATTGATTAATGAGAAAGAGGTCCACAGAATAAAAGTGTCTTAATAAAAATATTATATTATGGGGTGGGGGCAGGTGGAAGCAAAGGGGAGAGAGGTCTCAGAAGCCTGTGGTAGAGGACTATGGGTGTGTTGGTGGTGAGTGTGTTGTGATTACATGCGTATGAAGAGGTGTGAACCTATGCCTCTGAATAATCATTCACAGTGCTGTAAGCCATAGTTATCACAATAAGAACATTAAATAAGTTAAAATAACTTTAAAAATGCCCCATATGGGGCCTCCCTTTTGGTACAGGTGGTTGAACACCGCGCTGTGATGCTGTCTGCAGCCTCTGTAGCACCGGTTCGATCCCGACCAGCCGGCGAGGGTCCCACATGTTGCTCAGACCACTCCTGTCTCACCCACTGCTCCCCTCATCAGTGTATTCCATCAGTCTGCATGTTCTGTTCCCTGCTCTGTCTCTGGTGAATCCTCTCACCCTCCCTCGTATCTGGCTTGTACCCCAGTTCTTGTATAAATAAATAAATCTTTTAAACAAATGAACTCTTGCCATTTATGGCAACAAGCTGGAGGCAATTGTGTTCAGAGAAATAAGTCAGATGGATAAAGATAAGCTACAAATGGTTTCACTCATCTGTGAAATGTAAAGAAACAAATGTAGACAAAACCCAACCTATCACAAACCCTGCAAGTCTGACTGTAGAATTGAGCCTACAAGAGGAAGAGGGTAGGGTAGAGAGCAGGGTGGAGGAGATTCACTGGACTAGGAGTGTCTGGGGTGGGGTAAGGATGGTAACACTCATCTAAAGAGGCATGAACCTGTGGGTCTGCTAAACTTAAGCAGCCTGTTCAGCTGCCATTATGGTTACCTGCAGTTCTGCATCCTATACAGTCAGAACTGCCCTTCAGAACCGGTCAATCAGCCATAGGAGCCACACTTACAAGACACCTTTCATATCGCTCAAGAGCAGAAAGCTTGATCACTCTGGGAAGGGTATGCATCAAGAGGTGTGACTGGGAATGCCCGGGGGGGGCTAGGACCGATGTATGACAAGGGACCCCAGAAGCTGATCAGTGAACGCCTTGTTGATAAGATTAGGACCATGGCCGGGGATCTGGGGTCGGGTTTCGATTACAACACTTGATCATCAAGCTGATAACATGGTCAGCAGACTCATGTCCCCCAAAGCCCTAGATGACGTTCCTAAGTTTCCCCCCCTTTTGTCCTTGTCCTCTTAATGCACGTAGGTGATGCTGTATGATTATTCTATCAATAAAAATGGCCCGGATCTTGCTCTCAAGCAACACCCTGCATCATGTAGCCTGCTCCACGACTCCCGTGTGCTTGTCAGTGTGATGTTGCCCGACGCAGCATGAACCTATACCTCTGAGTCAAATACACTGTGGAAACCAATATTATCAGCTAAAGAAATAATAAAGCTTACAACTTAAATGCACTTTCATTAAGTCTCTCTGTCAGAAGTGTTAGGCAAATAATGACACATCAAAATAATGGGCACTACTGTGGATGGATGAATGGATAATAAACATGGAATATATTGATGGTATCCCAGATATAATGACTCAACACAATAAGAGCAACTTGAAATTGTGTTTATAAGACTAACTTGGTGATTCCTAGACACAAAACCTTTCAAAAGTACTGATACATCAAATTCATTTTTTTTCTATTTTTAATTTTTTAAATTTTCTTACATTGTTGTTCATTTTGTACAGTATTTGGTTTCTCCCCTCAGGTGTAATCCCTGTAAATCCCCAACAACCACATCACCCAGGAACATCACCATGGTCCCTTGTGCTCTTCCCTCCCCTATTTTAATCCCTGTCCCCACCCCTCCCCTGCTTTAAGCCTTGGATTATAGAGCAAATTTAAATCCAAAATACTGTTCTGGCACACAGGCCCTTCATGGTTTTACATTTATCTTCTTAAAAGCACACCATGGATTAGTTGCGATATGTCTTTGAATTATTCAAAATAAGCCTTACCTTTACTGAGTGTTCACAGTTCTTCATACATCTACTGAACTATCAGGTGCGTGTTATATTTCTCCTGCTTTACATAAAAAAGCCTACATGTTCTGTGCACTGTGTATGTGGGGAAGCCTTAGTGAATGGGCAGAATATCTCAAAATCCTGCTGTAAGCACTAGATACACTAATGCTTCAAATGCATGTGGTTTTCTAACACCTTTGTCATATTGCATGTATTTATATTTCAGTCTACTTTCTATGTGTGTTTTTATTATCAGCATAATCATTACTTTCTCCTGAAATCCCTCCCAGATCTCCAAAATCACTTAGAAGTCAGGGCCTCCCTGGTGGTTCAAGGGTTTAAGACACAATGTGTGGGGCTGTCTGCAGCCACTGCAGCACAAGTTTGATCCGCAGCCAGGGAGATACACTCATGGCACAGCAGACCTCTCCTGGCTCACCTGCTGCTCCCCTCAGCAGTGCAGTTCAGTAGATCTACCTATTCTGTTCCCTACTCTGTCTCTGGTGAATCCTCTCACCCCCACACCTCTGGCCTGTACCCCAGTTCTTGTATGCATAAATAAATAAATCATTTAAAAAATCACTGAGATGTCATACAATTTGCCAATTATAAGGCTATGGTTTTAAAAACTAATACGCACTAAGGAGATGCTATTTTGAAATTGTATTGCAGATTCCAGGGAAAGCTCCGATAGCAGGGTGAAATTCTTTTCCATAGGAAGAATAAAATGTGAGGACAGAATTGAACTACAACATTCTCCTACAAATGAATCTCCTATATGACATAAGTAATGACAGAAGAGATAAAAATAAATGCATGAAACATATTTTCTATTATTTTATAATAGAAAAGCTGTGATTGGTAGCACTTTTTTACAATTGCTTTTTTGAAAACCATGACATCTTTTGTAACATATCCCTAAAGACTTCCTTTACCTGCTGGTTCCTTAGGGTGTAAATAAAGGGATTTAGTAAAGGGGCAATGGAGGTATATAGCAAAGCCACATCTTTGGATAGAGTCACTCTTTCCTTTGCAGTTGGCTTAATGTACATAAATATACAGCTGCCATAAGTCATGGAGACAACAATCATGTGGGAAGAACAGGTGGAAAAAGCTTTGGTTCTTTGCTGTGCAGAAGGGAATTTCAGAATGGTTCTAATGATACAGGTGTAAGAGAGAATCACTAACACCAATGTGACCGCAAGTGTCACCACAGCTAAGATTAAAGACATCAATTCTAGGTCATGCGTATCAGTGCAGGATATCTGCAGGATAGGAGAAGTTTCACACATGAAGTGATCAATTACTTTGGAAGCACAGAACTCCAACTTGAGTCCCATGGCCAAAGGAGGGAAGATGATTAGAAACCCCGTCACCCAGGAGCTAATAACCAGCTGATAGCACACTCTGTTGTTCATAATGATTGGGTAGTGCAGGGGTTTGCAGATGGCAACATAGCGGTCGTAGGACATGGCCGTCAGAAGGTAGAACTCTGTGACTCCCAGTAAAAGAATAAAAAATATTTGAGCTACACAGTTATTGTATGAAATTGTTTTGTCTTTAGTCACAATGGTTACCAGGAATCTGGGAATACATACTGTTGTGAATAGAATTTCCAAAAATGAGAAATTACGGAGGAAAAAATACATTGGTGTCTTGAGGCGAGGATCCAGCAGGGTAAGTAGGATGATGATTAGGTTTCCCATCAGGCTCAGTGTGTAATTAAGAAATAAAAATAGGAAAGTCACAACTTGCAATTGTGGGTCATCTGTCAATCCGAGAAGAATGAACTCTATTTCTACTGACTGGTTCTTCATTTCTCTTTTGTGAGCTTTAGCAGATCTATATAAGAAGAACAAAAATTGAACACATAATTAAAAAGAACATGAATTAACCTAGATATTAACCTGTAAACATTAGTCTTATATAAAAATATGTATAAACTTAAATATACACAAATTAGCTTAAATACATCTATATAAACTAAATATGTAGTAAATATATATGCTAGTGTATATATTTATTTCACTTAAAGCAGATTTGGCGACTGCAGCAGGACTAAATCTGTTACAGGGCAGGGAGAGGTGCACCCAAGAACCCCCGAACCTGCCCGCTCTAAATAGGTTCTGCCATCTACTTCATCAAGACAAAACATATAAGACCTTTAAAGGAAAGGAACTTTAATACAATTAGTGTGCAATACAGAAAAGACAGAAAATGCAGTTTTTAAATAAAGCACCCAAAATTACCCATCCGCTCGTGGGTAAATGTCCAGCCAAACAGTATTGGCCCAAAGCAAAGCCTGCTACACGTCTAAAGAACCTTCCGGTGGGGTCCCACAGAAAAGGGTCTTAAGCAGTCAAACAAGTCTGGGAGGAAAAGAGCAAAATCAAAACTGAGATAAAAGCTGCCGTTGTTGGGCCTCCCCGGTGGCACAGCAGGTTGAGTGCCATGCTGTGAAGCTGTCCACAGCCTCTACAGTGCCGGTTCAATTCCCTGCCAACCAGGGAGATACCCACATGTTGCGGCAGACCTCTCCTGCCTTGCCTGCTGCTCCCCTCAGCAGTGTCTTGGGTCTGTCTGCCTGTTCTGCTCCCCCTCTGTCTCTGGTGAATTCTCTCACCCTCCCGCACCTCTGGCCTGTACCCCAGTTCTTGTGTAAATAAACAAATCTTAAAAAAAAAAAAACAACTTAAAAAAAAGCTGCCATTGTTAACCTCCCCATGCGTTTCTCACCCACATTTGTTTCAACCAGTCCAGAGCCAAGAAGCAAGAACAGTTTCTTTACATGTCACTCTGCTCCTTGTGCCTCCTCCAGGTCACCTTCTGGCTCTCCATCCTGCTTCCTCCCACTCCAGTCTCCTCTCCTGCTGCTTCTTTCAGCTCAGCTCCACCCTCCCTTAGTTGGGGCAGGGAATCTGGAACCTCCCCTTTTTTGTGGGGGTTACTCTGTTACATATCTACTGTTCCCCTATGCGTGCATGGTGAATATGTATTTTAACATAATGACTATAATTTTACTCTTTTCTCAGACAGATTATATTATCTAATCTAGATAAAAAGATTTTGGTGGGAAGAGGCAATGTACACACACCATATTTCTGTAAAGAATGCCCACTTTCCCTCAAATTCATACTTACTTTGAAGTCTTGAACTCAGATAGCTTTATTGGACATCCCCCTTCTATTCCAGATAAGTTATATTTTGTGAAATTTTGTTGTTATGGTTGTTGTCATTCAAAATTTCAAATAGGTAGTTATTCTTTAAAAAAAAAAAAAAAAGCAGCAACTGAAAATAACTCAGAACATCATCAGATGAAAGATAGGCCACTGTTCCAAGAAAGAGAGTCCACATTACCATGCACACACTTATAAAATGTGGCATTTTTATCATTCTTTACTTACTACAGACTCAAGTGATATATTGAAACAATACAGAAAATAAAGCCTTTTCTCTGGGGATCAGTGTTCCAAAAGGAGTAATTATTACAAATTATAATGGCAACCTACCTGAAATAAAAGAAGAGATGGAAGTATCCCAGAGGAGTATCACAAAAGTTTTAGAATTATCAATGAAATATTGAACAAGTTCATCAGTGGTTTGCTGTCCTGGGACAACACTGGAAAAATCCCCAGATGGTTTACACCAACACAAGATTGCCATGCTTCCAATAATCAACAGAAGAAATTACAGGCTTTATTATAAATAATTTTATACTTTGGCACCAAGGGGTGTATATATTATTTATAATAATAGTTTATTATTGGACTAAAAATAATATGACGTTTGAGATGAAATTTTGATAAAAACAATTCTGATCCTCAAGCCTGGAGACATTTTACTGTCCATCAGCTGGTGAGTGGTTTAACATATTGTGGCAATGCACAAAATGGAAAACATTAATGACACATCAAAAACACGAATCTCAGAAGTGGCATGCTAAATGAAAGCTCCAGATATAATATTCTATGACTCTTTTCCTATAGTTCTGGAAAACACTAAATTATAGGGACAAAAATGTGATCAGTGGTTTAGAGGCTGAGGATAAGCAGGTGTCACTGACTACAGATGTATTTTAAGGGAACTTTTTGGGAGGATGGAAACATTTTTTGTCTTGATTGTAGTGATGGTAGCATAAATATAAATTCAGGAAAAGCTCAGAAATTTTCACCTGTGCCAATGGAGAGTGGACAGTTCTACCAACACCTTGATTTTGTCCCTGTGGAACTGATTTTAGACTTCTGGCCACCAGAACTGTGAAAGAATAATTTTGCATGGTTTTGAGTTATCCATTTTGCCATAACTTTTTACAGTATCCACAGAAAGTTAATACATTATCCAATAAAAGATATATCAATATATACATATTTATTGTATTAATGATAAAGCAAATCGAACTTTCAGAACATAAGTCATTTCCTAAAATATGTCTTTAAAAAATTTGTATGTAGGTCAGATGTCTCAAAAAAAGTTTCCTGGTACAAAAAAGCCTGAAAGTTCTTAAATAAAATTTAAAAGAAAATGAAAATAAGAATGTCTGAGCTGGTGGAAATGTAAGTGAATTCTGCAATATCTAGACAGTGAGTTAATGAATCCTGAAATAGGTCATCACAGGTAAGAGATGGGAAAGTGTTGGACCAGGTAATGGACTTCACTACACCTTATAAAGTGAGGTAATGAAGCAAAGTGTGGGTTCCATATGTAGGGATGAGTAATATATTACTTCTTGACCCATTCATCTGTTTCCCAGCATTTAGGCTGTTTCCGTATCTTCGCTGCAATGGCCATGGTAGTGCAAGTTTGCCAAGGGGACACTTTTGAAGGGACCTACATTAAGCATCAAATAATAAGCATCATTTGATAATTAAGCATCAAAATGAATAATGATAATAATGAATAAAATCAGAAACCATAAATTCGTAATAATATAACTAATCTATAAATCGGAAGATTTCCAGCATTAATATTTGAAGTGTTTATACAAAATAATTGTTAATTTCAATGATAAAACAATATCTTTATGGTGGATAACCCTATAAATAGCCAAACAGCCCTATCAATCAAATTTTAAAAAGCATCATCAATTAAAAAAAATAAAAAGTATACCTAATAGTATCCAATGAGAAAACACATTTTGATGACAATCATTCTTGCCAAAGGTTAATAATTGAATATAATCAGACATCAAAATCATTTAACAATTGAAGATCATAATATAAAATTTCTGAAAAAAATTCCCATCAACATTCCTGAAAGTTAAGGAGAGACTAGGGAACTATTTCAAATAAAGGAAGCTAAAATATATGAAAATTAAATTAAACATATAATTCTAAATTATGTTATTTTATAAAGGACTTTTTTAGTCAACTGGTGAAATTTGATTAGGATTGGAGAATTAGATGTAAATAATATAAATGTTAATACCCAATGATGGTTGTATTGAGTTTATCTAGTAGAATATCCCCTTTTTGTTATCAATACCTTTACTATATTGAGGAGCAGATGGAACATCAAATGGTTCAGGAATAAAAGACCCTCGTATATGTATCTTTGTGTTTTATATTGCTTCAAAGCAGAAATAAATAAGTAACCATTCCAGTACTGCTTTCCCCAGTTTGGGGGCGCGGTAGGGGTTGCAATCAAGCTAATGGAATCCTAATATATTTTCTAAATGGAATCAATTTTCCTGTTTGGAGTAAACACTCTTACCAGTAGAATTGGTCATATTATTCCAGGACAGTAGACTATCTGAAATTCTTAGTGTCATTAAGCAGATCATTTAAATCATTACTGTTCTCTTTCAGGAGACTTTTGTTTATTTGCTCTCTCCTTTCCCCTCTTAATCTGTAAATCCTTACCCAGTCTCTAGAGGGCATTTTTTTCCTCTGCTCTTTTTATTTCAATGAATTCCCTTGTGTCTCTTAGCAAAATGATAAAACTGTGGCTTTCGTCAGTACACAACTGGAAGCAATGATTTGTTACACGTTTTGGGTTCCTTTAGCTGAGACTTTTCTTAAATCATCTTTTCAGATAATTCATTTAGAATTGTTATGAAGATATTTTTCTCCATCTAACTATATGAAGAAAACAAACAGAAAATGAATTTTATCTGGTATGGAAAAGTGATTAGATTCTCATTGAATTATCTGTCATATCTGAATCCTGTGATTTTAGTGAGCATGAGTAACAGTGGAAGATATTAGCAGATGCATATAATTTCCACATTGCATATTTCTTTTGAATCTTTCTTCAGAAATACATTGGAATTAAACTTTCTATTGAAGTAATTGATTATATTATGAAACGGAATATTAAATCATTCATGTTTGACTTTTGTTTCTGTCATATTCACAATGGGGGGAAACAATATCAATGAATTCTGGATATGGTAAGTCACTTATATGAAGTAAATATGTAGATCATAAATGAATGAATGGATTAAATGAATGGATGAGATAAAAAATGAAAGTAACTCTGCAAGTACAAATCAGGAAATACACTTTTTAATTGTTACAAATTTTCTGTTTTTACTTAGATATTCAATACTTCCTGATTAAATGAATTGCTTCTGAGAAGACTAATGCATTTGAAACAAGAAAAATAATAATTAAATGAAATAAGGGGACAATGAAGAAGTATTGCATTGGGTAAGATAATTAATGGAATAGAGTATTTCAATTATAAAGTATATAATTTATCTCCATATGCTTCATATATTTAAAAAATATTTTGAACAACCAAGATTTTTTTTATCAACATTGCACATTTAAGCTGGTATAATTGTCTAGATGATTTAAGAACTTTTAATTTGATTTTGGAAATATACATAGAAAAACACTTCAAGGAAGACTTATGTTCCCTTTGTTTAAATGTTTAGGATTTAAACAGCTCATTTGGAAATGATCAAGTAAAATTCAAATTATCTTTCAGGTTGAAATGGGGAATAGAAAAAAACGTACTGTTGTAAATTTAACTGTGACTGAAATGGGAACAATTAGAGATGCTTAGACTGATGTAGGCTATAATTTTAGGTGTTATTTGTTTTGTCAGATTGGACACCCTTTAAAACATGCTCACATTTCAGAATATGTTTTTCCCATGTGTGTATTTTTTTTAAATTTTTGTTTGTTATTTTCACTTATAGAGTTGGTTTCCTCTGTCTATTTAATCGAACTCAAATCTGAAATGAAGAATCAGTCGAAAGAGATAGAATTTATTCTCCTGGGACTGACTGATGACCCACAATTGCAAATTGTCATTTTTACATTTCTTTTCCTAAACTATATGTTAAGTGTCATGGGGAACTTAACCATCATCCTTCTTACCTTGCTGGATCTCCGCCTCAAGACGCCAATGTATTTTTTTCTCAGAAATTTTTCCTTCTTGGAAGTTTCGTTGACCACAGTCTGTATTCCCAGATTTCTGATAACCATCGTGACTAAAAACAAAATCATTTCCTATAATGGTTGTGCATCTCAGCTGTTCTTTTTCCTCTTATTAGGAGTTACTGAGTTTTACCTACTGGCAGCCATGTCTTTTGACCGTTATGTAGCCATCTGCAAACCCTTGCACTACCCGACCATCATGAGCAGCAGGGTGTGCTACCAACTCGTCCTGAGCTCATGGACAGCTGGCTTTTTGATAACCTTTCCCCCGTTGGTCATGGGCCTGAAACTGGAATTCTGTGCTTCCAAAGTAATCGATCATTTCATATGTGACACTTCCCCTGTGCTGCAGATTTCTTGCACAGACACTCATTTCCTAGAATTAATTTCATTTGTCGCGGCTGTGGTAACACTGGTGCTCACATTGCTGTTAGTGATTCTTTCCTATGTATATATCATCAAGACTATTCTAAAAATTCCCTCCTCTCAGAAAAGAACAAAGGCATTTTCTACTTGTTCTTCACATATGATTGTAGTCTCCCTTACTTACGGGAGCTGTATCTTCATTTACATGAAGCCATCAGCCAAGGAAAGGGTGACTTTATCCAAAGGTGTAGCTGTTATCTATACCTCGGTTGCCCCATTATTAAACCCTTTCATTTACACTTTAAGGAACCAGCAAGTGAAACAAGCCTTCAAGGATATAATGCAAAAGGTTTTTATGTTTTCCAAAAAATGAGAAAAAAATATTTTATAATCTTTGGAGAATAAAAGCAAACAAATTTTTTACTCATTTAAAAGTTTACTTAGTCTGTCTTCAATTAGCCTCATTGTGTGTGTGTGTGTGTGTGTGTGTGTGTGTTGTTTTAGTTGTATTTTATTTTGATGTAATTGGTTTAGGACACTGTGTATGATTTGGGAGGTGTAGGTTCATAATGCTTCACCACTAAATCAACAATAATCCTCCATCAGGGAGGAAGAAGCACAGGGGACAGTGGTGATGGTGCATGGGTGCATTGGTGAAGGAAATTCTGTGGGGGCTACACCTGAGGGGGGGTGGTGAAAGCAAACATTGTTTAAAAATGAATAATGATATAAAAAATAAAAAGAAAATTAAAATAATAAAAGTCTCCATACAACAACAACAAAACAATAATCCTCCATCATAGCCCGTTGGATTCCCTACCCTTAAATCGGTCTTTTCCACCTGCCTGTCTATTAATCTCAATTATGCAGTCAGATTCTAGGGTTTGTTTTGTTTTATTTTTGCCTATTCCTTTGTCTTGTTACTCTTTGTTCCACATATGAAAGAAATTGTCCAGTATTTTTCTCCTTCTGACTTTGTTTAGCACATGTATCTACAAAATCACAAGTGTTATTAATGTATGTTGAAATTGGGACTTTCATACATTTGCTAGTGAGATATAAAATGGTTATTGGTAAAATAGTTTGGCAGTTCCTCAAAAAGTTTAATATGGACATACCATATCAGAAATACTTCTCCTAAGTATTAAAAACATATTAACACAGAAATGTGGCCACCTGTATAACAATGTACATAGAAACATATGCATAAGAGTGAAAAAGTAGAACCAACACAAATATCTTCCAGATTGTGAATGAATAAATAAAATGTAGTATATCCTTACAATGGATATTATTTGGCCATAGAAAAGAATGAAGTTACAACAATACATTCTACAGCATGGATGGACCGTGACAACATATTGTACCAGTGAAGAAATTCAGACACAAAAATCCACATATTGTGTGAATCCATTTATGTGAAATGTTCTGAATAGTCAAGTCCACAGAAACAGAAAACAGATTAGTGGTTCTCTAGGTCTGGGGAGAGAGGAGATAAGGGAATGGACTTTAATGAGTTCTGGATTTCTTCTTGGAATGATGAAAAGTTCTAGAATTATATAATGATGATGGCTTTGCATAGCATTGTGGCTATACTGAATACTATTTTAAGTGAGTGGAAAAGTGAATTTCATTTTACATGATTCTTATCTGAATTAAAAAAACAGTACTGCCAAAGGGAAAGATGTTTTTTCTCTTCATGTCTTCAGGGAATTGTTCTTTACCATATATTTACCATGAAAATATCTCAGGATACATAAGAGAAAAAGTGGGATATGAATGAATCTGTTAGATTTTTCTTGCCTTGCTTTGATCAGGGACATTTTTCAGCTTTAATGTGTGTCATTTGTTCAGTACATTCTGCAATACTCGTATCATTCTCTCTTTTTTGATAGGAACCACTGATCATTAAAACACTTATTCTTTTCCTCACGAAGCATTACTGTGGGTAAGACATGGAATATCAGCTGTTTCCTTGCTAAATACAAGGGGAGAAAAAAACTAACCTTGATTAACTTTTGAGAATTGTAATCATCAAAGTAAAATTATAGGATGTTAAATACATTGGACAGTACAGTGAACTTAAGAGAACTATGTGTGAAATCACCCTGAATTTATCAATTCAAAACCCTTGTAATTCTGAAAACAATTCTTTAAACTTTCTGTGTCTCCTTTTCTTCATCTGTGCAATGGAAATAAGTGATAAAATATAATTGCAGCATTCACAACGCTCTGGCATATTGTGAGTGGTTACTACATGGGAGAAGTTATGTTGCAATTTATCTCTCTTGAAATCAATGTAGTTCTTAAAATGTCCTTGAGGACTGTGAAAATAATTTTTATATTACTATTCTCAATTTCTTCTCTGTGATGCAATCATTCCCTATAATAATTGCATGTATGAAAACACTACTGCAAAGCTTTCTTGTTGAAAATAGCATTCAGAAGAGATTGTTTTTAGCTGGAATATAATTTTCCATGTTTTCACTCTGGGAAATACTTATTCTTCTTCTAAACCTGCTATGACACTTTCATACAGTAGCAAAATCTTTCCCCTTCATTTTTCTCAATTTATATATTTATAATATATATATATATATATATATATATATATAAATCAAATTCCAGAGCATCCCTAGTGGACTGTGGGTTAAGTCTCAGCACTATCATCGCTATAGCTTGAGTTCAATCCCAGCCAGGAAGGTGACCCACATGGCGCAGCAGACCTCTTCTGTCTCATGGCTGCTCCCCTCAGCAGCGTATTTCAGTAGATCTGCCTGTTCTGCTCCCCACTCTGGTGAATCCTCTCACTCTCCCCCCACCTTTGGCCTACACTCCAGTTATTCTGCACATAAAAAGGTCAAATTCTAATTATTTTTATTCTATAAAACTAGTCAATAAAATTATTGAAGTTCTGGATTGTATTGTCTTTGTGTGTTACTTCATTGTACACCTGGGCAAACAGCAGGTATAGCTATTCATTGTAATTGTAATTAAGTGCAGTTTATTATCAAATTAAGTAATAAAAACATTGGTGTGACACTATATTCTTTTCAAACCTATCACCACTAACAGCAACAAAAGCCGTTAGCATTATCTGATGTCCATTCATCTAGTGCAAACATGCTTGTTCGTGTGTTTTTATGTATTGACTGAATATTTGTCCATCAGAATATCCCCCCTTCTAAGTTTGATCTAACACTTCCTCTTTATGTAATTCCTAGTGCATTATAAATCAAGGGACATACCTAGTACTGCCATGATTGTCGCTGGTTTTCATGTGGGCTGAGTCCATATCCCCTAGTTAGATAATTTTGCAATTCTTTTACCAATGTTGCCATTAATTTTTTCTTTAGGTGTTTTGTTACTTCACCAGGTACTGAAAAAAAGTCAGTTTTTTCCATTTTATCTTTTATTTTCTTTATATTAGAATTATTCTATAATTAGAACTTCCATCATTTATTTCACTACTTTGAAAGTGTTTGTATAAGAAACAATAAATGTTTCTTTGGATTGGTCTACTTTCAGAGGTATCCTAGTAATCACAAATGTTTATAGTAGGCTCTTTTATTTCATGAATTTGTGGATTTCCAGTCATGGATATTTCAGTCATGACAAACTATGGCTTATCAGCTAAATTGGGCATGCTACCTGTTTTAATTAAAAAAATAAGAAAAAAGAACATGTTTTACGGAACACAGTCACACCTATTTGTTACCTGTTCTCCAAGTATTGCTGCTTTCATGTTATAGGAGCAGAACTGATCAGTTGCAACAAAGATCTGCAAATCCAGTATACTCTCCCACCATTTATTACAAAGGTTTTCTGACCACTGAATTTGATGTGTTTTAAGTCACTAGTGTCTTTATATGTTTGATGTTTTCAGATTATCTCTTATTAGACAAGAGGGATTAACTCCAGTTCTACTTATGAAACAATCAATCCCTTTAAATTTTGATTATTTTCTTGCTTTCTGTTACCTTTAAACCCATCCTGAACACTTCCTGCCCTGCCCCTGAATGAGTAATTTCTCCCAAACACTTTGGTTTATTTTAATGACAACTGGATTGAAAGTTTCTCTTTTGGGCACTGGAGATGCATTACTACTAGGCTGACATCAACTACAGTTTTATCTGCAGACAGAACTATAGAATATTGATTTCTTTTTTTTTTAATCGCAAATTTATATTCTTCTAACTTCTGTGAATACAGGATTTTTTACTTTATGTTTAGTTTTTAAATTTGATTCTTACATTTCTTTTACATTGTGTCACATATATTGATGTTTGAAATTATTTTCTAAGTACCTTCTATGATAAATGACAGCTTGAAACTAGCAATATCAATATTTATATTTAAAATACACTGGCAATGCAGCAGAGTTCCAGCCCTGCAGTCCAACCTACACTTTTGTATGGGCAGTCTTTTAACTTTTAACACTTATAATATACGTGGGATGATGCTTCATTATCATTTTAATTTGTATTAATCTAATGACAAATAATGTTGTTTCTCATAACTTACATAGTAAGTTCATATTTTCTGGTAAAGTGTTTGTTCAAGTTTTTCACTGAATTTTTCCTATTTTTGAGATTTGAAATTTCTTTTTATATAGACACAAGTTCTTTATTAGATATATGATTTGCAAATGTTTATCCCACTTTGTAAATTTTATGGTATTATTTTTTATTGAAATCACTTTGGTTTACAACACTGTATATAATACTGAGGTACAAGTTCACACCTCTTCAGATGTATCTTAGATCTTTATACCAATAACCAAGAAACTCATAGAAGTATCAAACACAAACTAATATTAACATAATTTTAAACTAGCTATGAAAGGATGTCCTAAGAATAGGTCCCGAAGAATTCCTGATAGACTATACAATCTTTTTCTAGTTGAACAACACCATCAAAAGTTAAAAACTCAAAGTAGATTCTGAAAATATGGTGCAACAGAAAAACCAGGAGTTTATATCCATAATACAGAAATATTTCCTAAAAATAAATAAGATGAAATAAATCAATGAAAAGTGAACGCAAGTTATTAGCAGGAAATTCTTGGATGAGAAATACAAATATCAGAAAGTTCAATCTCTATTAATTTGAGAATATTAAATTTATAAGAAAATACAACATTTATATGTCTCTTCTAGTATTTAGTACACAACTGTAAGAAAAGAATGAGTCCCATCTAGATAATTTGACAAGTATTCAGATCCATTAGATATCTTTAACTGATAGATCAAAAAAATGTTGCAGAAAATTTTGTGCACGATTGAGTATGTGCATGTGATGTCAAATGAAGATGTAGAAAAAAAAAGTGTCTGGTAGCACATACTATACATATTTAAAGTATGCTTAAAGATGAGGACACACAGAGGATTATTTGAAAACATATTTTATATTTGATTCTCATAACATTAGGCATATATTACTCTTGAAATATGAAAAATGAAAAAATGAAGTTTCAAGTGTTCTCTAATTTCTTAAAGATATTAAAATGCTTTCTCTGTTCATTCTGTTTTGTACTGGTGGAGATGTGTCAATGACTAAAGCATGGGCAGTGCCCTCAAGGACGGGTCCACTGTGGGATGACTCAGGCCTGGGTTTAACCATCCCTAAAGGAATTGAGAATAATGATCTCCTGAGTGTAGGCCAAGTGCCATTAGGAAAATGAAGTGTAGCCAAAAGGAAATTAGGCTGATTGTATAAGTTGGTCCATTTTTTGCCTTTATCTCGCTATTTTACTTAGCTTTCAGGAAAGGTTTATGGCATAACACCACTCCATCTCTGAGCTTGTCTCTCCTTTCTCCCTTCCTTTCTTCACTCTGGTCCCTCAGGTGTTTTAAAAAGTGACCAGAGATGGTGAAATTGCTTTTTTCTTTAGATAATGTTCACTCTTCCTTTATCCAGGGAGCTTTCAAATGCTTTACCTTCCAGACATTAAGCACTAACCAGTAAGCAGTAATCTGTAGGAATTGACTTGAAGTCTCAGGATTACAATTGTAGCTTCTGGAAGCTCAGGTCAGAACAATGTTTATGTTTAAATGAAAAGATGAAAGATATAAAGATAAATTTATTTGACTTACAGTAAAAGCTGTAGAACATTTGCATACCAAAAAGCCCATATTTTCTCCATGTGAGTTTTTTATGTAATAGACAAAAGGCAAAATAATAAATAATGGCTAAAACCTCTCCTAAAGTATAACATGAACACATGGCAACTCAGATGTAAGTAAATTAAGGAAAACCTGGATTATATTTCTGACTGGAATCATTAGGTGAATCGGAAAGTAAGTATTTATTTACACTTATTTGTCACTAATTTTATATTTGTCTTTGTTCCATTCAGAAGTTCTTTTTGTTGGAATAAAATTGTGGGTACCCCCAGATTATTGCTTTAATAAATTTTCTATTACTAATTTTATATTTTAACATTTCAGTCGCTGTTCAAAACGTAGTAACTGTATGCATTTTATTCTGCTAATTTTACTGATAAGTTATAAAAAAAAAAAAGTGCCCATTCCTAAAAGTAGAGAATGCTGGATTGTCAGGGAAAAAAATTAAAAGAAAAGTGATATAATACAGGTTTTAATGCTTACTACTTACTAATATTTCCAGTTTTTGCTATAGAAAGAAAATAAAACAAGAAGAATTTAAAATCTGTATCACAGAAAAAAATGCTGGTTACTAAGAATAAAAAGAGAACAAGACAGATAAAGTCATACTATTACATTTCAGCAATTTGAAATTTCTTTAAAATAAATCGTAAAGAGATTTTCATTTATTCTAATTGTTTAGTCTTTTAGAAAGAAGGCAGTGAGATTTTTGTCATCAAAACCTCCCTATAAGTTGCTTATTATTTTCAGGCAAATTTAAGATTAAAAAAGCAAAGTGAATATAGTTTTTATTTTTAAAGCCAATTGTTAATTTAAATAAGAAACACAAAAATAATAAAAACAAAATATTTATTGTAGATCTACATTGGTTTACTTCTACTTATGTGAGTATTCATATCTCTGGATTCTTCTTTCTTTCCCATAAATCAAGATTTTTACACTTATTTGTAACCAGGGGACTTCTACTCTTATGTTTCTGTGATTGCAAACACATTTTTTTTAAGATTTATTTATTTATACAAGAACTGGGGAACAGGTCAGAGGCATGGGGCGGGGGGTGAGAGAATTCACCAGAGAGAGCTGGGAGCAGAACAGGCAGAAGAACAGAAGACACTGCTGAGGGGAGCAGCAGGTGAGGCATGAGAGGTCTGCCGCGCCATGTGGGTAGCTCCCCTGGCTGGGAATTGAACCCGTGCGGCAGAGGCTGCCCACAGCTTCACAGAACAGCTCACATCCTGCTGTGCAACTGGGGAGGCCCTGCAAACACATTTTTGTGGGTCATATTTAAAATTATACATAATTAATAAAAATGATCATATTTATTCAGCTCAGGAAATGTAATGTGGTCATCAGTTTCCACTAGGGTCTAAGATAATAAAGTTTGTAAATAACATCAGACATCAGAATTAAATCAGTATTATATATATTTCAGTTCTAAAAGCATACAAACTTGGAAAATGGAAAACACATCTAAATTACAGACATAACAAGTATCATTGTAGAAAAATATTTAAAGGATGTACTGCAGATATAGAATATTTTGTTGTATGTAGAGATGTTATGTAAAGTCACTAATGATAGGACTTTTAACTGATCTGTAAATACAAGTTTCCTTTTCAACAGAGGATATATACAATTTTTCTGCTTAAGTAGATACTGTCAAACTGCTTATAGGTTAAAAAAGTCCATTGCTTCATTTTATTAGCACTATTAATACCAATATCTAAATATTCAACTTCTATACAATTTACTTATTTTTTCCCTTTGTTTTGTTTTTCACCAATAGATTTTGCTTAAAGAAAGTAAAAATCAATATGAGAAACCATACCATAGTTACAGAGTTTGTACTCTTGGGCATAACAGACAACCCAGAGCATCAAGCTGTCATGTTTGCCTTTTTATTCCTGGCTTATGTATTAAGTATCACTGGTAACCTAACCATCATCATCCTAACCTCAGTAGACAATCATCTAAAGACACCTATGTATTTCTTTCTCCAGAATTTCTCCTTCTTAGAAATTTCATTCACCAGTGTTTCTATCCCCAGATTTTTGGCATCAATCATTACTAAAGTCAAGACCATTTCTTACAATAATTGTTTAGCTCAATTATTTTTCTTTATCTTCATGGGTGTGACTGAATTTTTTCTTCTCACTGCCATGTCTTATGATCGTTACGTGGCCATCTGCAAGCCTCTTCATTACACCACCATCATGAACAAGAAAATCTGTATTCTGCTTGTCTGTAGTTCCTGGGTAGCAGGATTTCTTACCATTTTCCCACCTCTCATGCTTATCGTCCAGTTAGATTTCTGTGCTGCCAATGTCATTGACCACTTCTCTTGTGACTATTTCCCCATTTTACAGCTCTCCTGCTCAGACACATGGCTTTTAGAGACGATTGGTTTTTACTTTGCTTTTGTTACTCTGCTCTTCACACTGGCATTAGTGATTCTGTCCTACATTTTCATCATTAGCACCATTTTGAGATTCCCATCTGCCAATCAGAGGAAAAAGGCCTTCTCCACATGTTCTTCTCACATGATTGTCATTTCCATCTCTTATGGAAGCTGCATATTCATGTACGTCAAGCCGTCAGCCAACGAGCGAGCATCATTAACCAAAGGGATAGCCCTCCTCAACACTTCCATTGCCCCCATGTTGAACCCATTTATTTATACCTTGAGGAACCAGCAGGTAAAGCAAGCTTTCAAAAACCTTGTTCATAAACTAGTGTTTTCCAGAAGCCAATAAAAGTTATTATGAACAAATGTCATCTTGGAAGATTCAATAAAAGAAAAATGAAATTTTACCTTTTATAACATCCTTCTGTATCTATCTCACAGATACCTGAGCTCAGTGGTAAAACTTTGCTTTTCACCCAGAAGTGACAATGTTGTGTCTTTCCTTCAAATTATCTGAGGCTCCATGTAATCATTGTTTATTATTCTAAATGAAAAAGAAATAGTGATGATAGAACATGAATCATTTGTTGATTATGCTGAATAATAACTGTATTTTGTATGTAATGGCTGCTTAAATTTTATATGTAAAATATTATGTATGTAAATACTGTTATATTCAACATACTCTTGTTTTCTTGTCTGTTACTAATGTAACTGTTTCTTAAAGTTTTATGAAGTATGGAATAAATATATGTAGCAAGTCATATTATTTGTCTGTTCTCTGGAGTACTAATTCAGTCATTCATCTACTGTAACTTGATATTTATTTTTCCACTTAAAAATAATTTCAAGTTTATCATATCCCATATTTTTAGTTTAGTTAAAGATGTATTATGTTTGGCTTTATATATTCTCCTATTTTATTTGTATTAAAAACATGGAAACTATGAATATTTAGGCATATGCTATTATTCTTATATAAAGAAATCTGGAAATTTCTGATTGGAAATCTGATTGAATTTCATAAATAATAATAACTAACTTCTCAGTGTCATGCTGAATTATATCTATTTTATACCATTTTTTTATTTAATCTCACAACTAGACATACTCATCTCTTTTTTACTATCATGTAAAGTCTCAGGAAAATTGAGTAATTTGCCTGGGCTCATTGAACTACAGTAAATATAATAGCCTCATTAAAAAGTAAATTAAAGTTAAGCTATGGAAGCAACCCAAATGCCCAAAAATAGATGGCTGGATCAAGAAGATGTGGTATGTATACACAATGGAATATTACTCAGCAATCAAAAAAGATAAACACATGCAGTTTACAGCAGCATAGATGGAGCTGGAAGGGATCATGCTCAGTGAAATAAGTCAGAAAGAAAAAGAAAAATACCGGATGGTCTCACTCATAGCAGGAATTTAGAAAACCTAAATAAGAGACCAGGAAAAAGACTAATCAATACAAAGTAAAAATCAAAATCAACAAGCAACTATAAACCAGAGATATACTGAGGGAGGGGGAGCGAGAGGTGGGGAGAGAAAGGACTAGATTCAAAATAAGGGGGGGTGCAAGTGTATGGGGAATATAACCAAAATGAAAATGCATACATTGTACAAAGATGAAAAAAGATATAAGAATTATATAAAATAAAATATTTAAATAAAAAATAAAAAGTAAATAAAATTGTCTTTGTTCTATTTTATGCATGTTTGAAACTATAATAACCTGTAAATTTTGCACAGATTTTATTTAAGATTTGCACAATTGTATTGGCTTTTTTTCATTCATATTATCTCATTTGGACATGATTTTATATTATAGTCAGTCTGAGATGGCACTAACACCTAGTATTTATTGTAAGTACAATATAATTTTTAGCATTAATCTATAAAAACAAGAAACTTTCCAGCTCCCATTGCTAGTAAGCAATAGTGTGAGTAAGGGAAAGTATAAAGTGTAAACAAAATTTTGTACTCTAACTTTTTTATTAGAGTTAATAAATACATTTAGCACAACATAGTAGATACCAAATTTATAAAATAGCATGAATTATTGGGTAGATATTTGCATTAGGGATTAAGATATTTGGTTGCTAATATCTGAAAAACAATGTCAAGGGAAACTCACTTCATCTTAGTGTTATTGTTTGTTTGTTGTTATTTTTTTCTGTCTCCTTGGACACTGTCCCTCAAGCTTCCTTTTCTAATTTCAATACTAATGCGCATTGTTTTATATTCCTTAGTGTTTTGTTTATATTCCTGTTCTGGCAATTTCGATTCACTGAATTAGGCCCCTTGAGCCAACAGCAGAGAGAATAAACAAAACATTAAGTAGCTTATGCTGGGTAAAATCTAAGTAGAAACTCTATCAGAGAGTTTTAAAACATCTAATACTCTTTGAACTTTTGTATATTTGCTCCCTTCTCCCTATAGTGAAAGAAATATACCCATTCTAAATTAAACAGAAAATTTAAGATGAAAACATTGGGAATAGAAAGCAAATTTGTTTAATGGGAAAGAGAGCAAATATTTTCAGAAATGTTGGTTTCTCTGGATTATATCATGGCAGTTGCTAATATTTTTTGTATTCTCCCCATTCTGAGGGTTAATGAGCCTATGGGAAAATCAGAGGTAAGTTCACATATAAGGGTTTATTGAAATCCCCCATATTTTATCATTCATTCATTATTCATTACCTAACTGCTTAATATTTAATCAAATTAAATGGGATATACCGTCATTGTATTTTGAAACAGGATATATTAAAAAGTGTAAAAAGAGGTTACTATATTTTAATATTTTTAATTTACTCATTCTTGATTAAGTAAGACAGGGATTATTCTCTCTGTGCCTGAGTATTTCCAACTGCACATAGGTTATGTCATACTTTGTTCAGATACTAGACTTTAATTGCAGGTAGTCCGAGATTATATTTGACATTTGCTAACTATATGACTATATCTAAGGTATATAATCTTTTGAAACTTACTTCTTTATTGGGGAGTAAAGATACATGTTTTATAGTGTATGAGAAGTGCCAGTTGAGGTAAAATATAGAAATCCTCAGTATTTCACCAGACTTAAAAAATGCTTTTGCTAGGTCACATTTCTCCAGGACAACAACCACCAAAATAATTTCATTCTGATGAAAGAATTTTCCAAACACTCAATGTGTTCTCCAGACATGTCTTTGTTTCAGAGTTCTTAAAGGAATCTCATGTCATGGCCCAAAAGTTGGAATAATTGAGCAGTGCCAAAGTAAATTTAAAGAATTGTGAAATTGAACCTGTTATCCACAACATTAAATTAAATGATTTTTCTTTTCTCTAATGTATTAACTTTAACCCTGAACCTCTCTTTAAACCCCTAAGTTAGAAGGAAAGAGAATGGTAGGATCAATGAAGCAGTTGGCTTTGGAGATGACTTGTGAAATTTTTATTTTGATCTCTAATGAGATTTAACTAGAAGAGAGAATTAAGTAAACACAGAAAATACTGGGGAAATGGACTCTAAAATTCATTGCCTTACTAAGGAATATTTCCACCCAGTTCAACATAAAACACGACTAAAAGCCACAACTGTATCAGAAATAAAATGGAAAAGCTCTAAGTTTCTTATCTCAGCTCCTGAAGAGATACTCTTTGGTTCTCTAACTGAATGTATTCTTTATTAGAGTGTTTTTCATCTTGAGAGTCAAAGAAGTTTTCAGTTATCTACTTTATCTAAAGGCTTATTGTTAATATGAACTTGATGCAATGGATTTTGAAGGGCAGGACAGAGGGACATTTTCAGAAGATGCCTGAAAATATTTTGTAGCTACATTATTCCATAAATATGAAGTATTTTTGTTAATTTTCATTTTGAATTGCACATAAAGACTTGTCTCAGGGAGTCTTAGAAGGCAAGAATTAATTTTAGTGAAATGGGAGAAGAAAAAAAAAAACAGCTTAAAACAGTAACCAAATTTTTCCAGGGAAAAATATGAATCTGTATTTAGAATAAAAAGCTGAGATGAGGTCAATGCTAGGAAACATACTTTATACCCTAATGAATATATCCTTAAGACTCTAGCAATCATATGCACCTCGTTAAACATTGAAATTTATTTTTCTGAAAAAGCTGATGAATAAAATGTATGAATGAATGGAAAAAAATAATTCTTAAGCTTAATTGATATTAAATTAATACAATTCATTGAATTTTCAAAAACATTTTCATGTCTATAAACAATGTAGCACACTACCCTCAACTCGATATGAGATTATTTCCTGAGAGAATCTCTAGAGTCCTCTAGAGTTTTTTAAGCCTGCTTCTCTGATCCTAGAAAACTGACTACAAGTGTCCATGTTCAGTATTGCTCACATGAGCGCATGCGCTATCTATTAATATCTCTTCATGTGCTCATAGTCTTTGTTCATATCATTCATGTCTCTTCATGTGTTCTTTGGCAATTTTAATCAGTAGCCAAAAATAGTAAATACCAGTATTATTATTCAGAAAAGTGTTAAAATTAACCAAAAACTTAGAGGAAAATTATGCAAAAAAAGTTGAATTAAGGCTCAACATACACTACAATGATACATTATAGAACAGTAAAGATATAAAATATATTTTTTACAGTTGATTTCCTGTGTAAGCGACTGTCATAATTTCATTCTTGAGATTGAGTACAAATCTTGTCTATTTGATGAGCATACATTTTGTGACTTCCAGGTGTTATTAAAAACTAATACCTTCAGTGAAATGCATTCAATGAAATAATAAAGGTTGTTATTACTAATGAGGAACAGAGAAAACAAAGTGACCCTTAGTAGCAATGTTGGCAGACAACAAATATCCAACATGCCTCAAATGTGGGGATGAAATTCTACCTGAGACTTAACCCCTAGGCCACCAGCATCGCCCTAGAACTAACTTTTTGTATGGTTCTACATTCTGCTAATTTTCTTAACTCTCATATACTCAAATGTTTTTTTTTTTTCCCCTCTTCACTTTCTAGTGTAACTTTCTAATTAGAAAAATTTTTGAATAAGGAAAAGTGAGAGTATGATTGCAATGAACATTCATTTACTTACCACCTACGTTCAACATTTTAACAATTTAACCTGTTTATCTACCCACCTCACTCCTTATGTTTTTAGATTGATTTTTTTTTTCCAACCACCATCCTTTAAACTTCTTCAACCCTTTCTTCTTCCCTCCCCGCTCTGAACATCAGGAGCCTCATTTCTTACTGTCCACTAGTTTTTATAAATATTTTGCTTTGTCAGATCATATGTTATGTAAACATGTAACATTTGTCATTTTAATTTGCTTTACTAATGGTAAATTTATCACAAG